CTGTGCTCCCCCGCGCGCTCGCCAAATGCCGAGGCCGCGAAGGAGCCCAGGGAGGACTCGCGCAAAGGAGCCCCCGGCTGCCTTGCGGCCTCGCCATTTGGCGAAGCCATGAGGGAGCCTTCGCGCGAGCCCCTCCTGGGCTCCCCCGCGCGCTCGCCAAATGGCGAGGCCGCGAAGGAGCCCAGGGAGGACTCGCGCAAAGGAGCCCCCGGCTGCCTTGCGGCCTCGCCATTTGGCGAAGCCATGAGGGAGCCTTCGCGCGAGCCCCTCCTGGGCTCCCCCGCGCGCTCGCCAAATGGCGAGGCCGCGAAGGAGCCCAGGGAGGACTCGCGCAAAGGAGCCCCCGGCTGCCTTGCGGCCTCGCCATTTGGCGAAGCCATGAGGGAGCCTTCGCGCGAGCCCCTCCTGGGCTCCCCCGCGCGCGCGCCAAGAGCCCAGGGAGGACTCGCGCAAAGGAGCCCCCGGCTGCCTTGCGGCCTCGCCATTTGGCGAAGCCATGAGGGAGCCTTCGCGCGAGCCCCTCCTGGGCCCCCCCGCGCGCTCGCCAAATGGCGAGGCCGCGAAGGAGCCCAGGGAGGACTCGCGCAAAGGAGCCCCCGGCTGCCTTGCGGCCTCGCCATTTGGCGAAGCGGTGAGGGAGCTGAGGCAGCCTTCGCGCGAGCCCCTCCTGGGCTCCCCCGCGGGCTGCGAAGGCGCCCAGGGAGGGCTCGCCTTGCGGCCTCGCCATTTGGCGAAGCCATGAGGGAGCCTTCGCGCGAGCCCCTCCTGGGCTCCCCCGCGCGCTCGCCAAATGGCGAGGCCGCGAAGGAGCCCAGGGAGGACTCGCGCAAAGGAGCCCCCGGCTGCCTTGCGGCCTCGCCATTTGGCGAAGCCATGAGGGAGCCTTCGCGCGAGCCCCTCCTGGGCTCCCCCGCGCGCTCGCCAAATGGCGAGGCCGCGAAGGAGCCCAGGGAGGACTCGCGCAAAGGAGCCCCCGGCTGCCTTGCGGCCTCGCCATTTGGCGAAGCCATGAGGGAGCCTTCGCGCGAGCCCCTCCTGGGCTCCCCCGCGCGCTCGCCAAATGGCGAGGCCGCGAAGGAGCCCAGGGAGGACTCGCGCAAAGGAGCCCCCGGCTGCCTTGCGGCCTCGCCATTTGGCGAAGCCATGAGGGAGCCTTCGCGCGAGCCCCTCCTGGGCTCCCCCGCGCGCTCGCCAAATGGCGAGGCCGCGAAGGAGCCCAGGGAGGACTCGCGCAAAGGAGCCCCCGGCTGCCTTGCGGCCTCGCCATTTGGCGAAGCCATGAGGGAGCCTTCGCGCGAGCCCCTCCTGGGCTCCCCCGCGCGCTCGCCAAATGGCGAGGCCGCGAAGGAGCCCAGGGAGGACTCGCGCAAAGGAGCCCCCGGCTGCCTTGCGGCCTCGCCATTTGGCGAAGCCATGAGGGAGCCTTCGCGCGAGCCCCTCCTGGGCTCCCCCGCGCGCTCGCCAAATGGCGAGGCCGCGAAGGAGCCCAGGGAGGACTCGCGCAAAGGAGCCCCCGGCTGCCTTGCGGCCTCGCCCTTTGGCGAAGCCATGAGGGAGCCTTCGCGCGAGCCCCTCCTGGGCTCCCCCGCGCGCGCGCCAAATGGCGAGGCCGCGAAGGAGCCCAGGGAGGACTCGCGCAAAGGAGCCCCCGGCTGCCTTGCGGCCTCGCCATTTGGCGAAGCCATGAGGGAGCCTTCGCGCGAGCCCCTCCTGGGCTCCCCCGCGCGCTCGCCAAATGGCGAGGCCGCGAAGGAGCCCAGGGAGGACTCGCGCAAAGGAGCCCCCGGCTGCCTTGCGGCCTCGCCATTTGGCGAAGCGGTGAGGGAGCTGAGGCAGCCTTCGCGCGAGCCCCTCCTGGGCTCCCCCGCGGGCTGCGAAGGCGCCCAGGGAGGGCTCGCAGCCTTGTGGGCGGGGCCTAAGGAGGCGGCCTCGCGACCCCTCCGAAATGGCCAAACGACCCCCTGGGGGGTCGCGACCCCCAGGTTGAGAACCGCTGTTCTAGAGGCATTTCTCCCGACGTTTCGCCTGCATCTATGGCAAGCATCCTCAGAGGTATGGCAAGCATCCTCACTACCTCTGAGGATGCTTGCCATAGATGCAGGCGAAACATCAGGAGAAATGCCTCTAGAACATGGCCCTATAGCCCGAAAAAACCCACAAGAACCTCAGCCCTTTTTGCTTAAGCAGGCGAGGGGGGAAAAGGAAGGGTCCTGAGGAATTGTGGGAGTTGGAGTCCAAAACACCCGGAGGGCCCAAGTTTGCCTCTGCCTGGTGTACATGAACCCACTGTTATCAAGGGCAGTGTTTCCCAATCTGTGTTCTTCCCGACACTTGAGACTCCAACTCCCAGATGTTCCAGCCATCTTGTCTATCAGGAATTGTGGGAGCTGAAGTTCAGAAAAACTTTAAGACCCAAGAAAACCAGTGATCTAAGGAAACCAGACTGCTTAATTACTGACATTCCCACTTCGTACAAATCACAAATCCTGTGCCCTTAGTAAACGGAGAAAGTCAAGAATTTTTGGCAGCATGGTGTTGTGGTTTCAATGTTGAATTATGACCAGGGTTCCAATCCTAATTCGGCTGTAGTGACCTACTGGGTGACTTTGGGAAAAGGTCCTGTAGTGGCAGATAAGAGAGATAATACCAAAATAGATCCTTTCCAGAGAAAGAAAAGTACGGCTTTATTTCCAACTGGGACCTTGAGTGGAGCTGTGAGGATAAAGGCGTTGACTGTGCCTTTTATACCTCTACAAATGTATGCAAACAAACATACTTCTACATACATTGATATCATTCACTGTGTCAGTTTAGCATCATAGAAATATCAAATTCTATCTTCCAACATGCAAAAGGCATGTCTCTATTTTTTTTTCCTAGGAGCAGTTTACAGGTTACATCCATCAATCAAGGGGCCTACTTTGACTTGTCAGGAGGGGAGGGGGATTCCTTAATTAGGTATAGCCTGTATGTACCAGTCTCTGTGGAATGTATAGATAACAGGGCCCCCTTCTCTTCCCCCTTTCAACACAGATCTCTTTCAGCATTCCTTCTCTGTCCTTCTGGCTTTCTTACACAGAGATAACCTGATTTTTCTATACATTTCAATGCTTGTAATGTACATACCATTTATGTATCAATATATTTCCAATATCTCCCCATTAGTCCCATCTACACTTCCATATACAATCTAGATTACCTGCTTTGAACTGTATTATATGGCAGTGTCGGTTCATAGCCAGTTCAAAGCAGATAATGTGGACTATCTGCTTTGATTATCTGGATTATATGGGGCCAAAATCACACTCAGCCTCAGATGATAGCAAAGGCAATCCCTTCTCCCTGAATCTTGCCCAGAAAACACATGACACAGTCGACATAAGTAGGAAGAGACTTGAAGGAACACAATAAAAATATGCTGACATAAAGCAAGTAGTTTTTGTTCTGCTTTTCCTGCTTTCGCTCTATATAAAACAATGCGGCTTGGAGCATGCCTCGTTTGCATGTGTAATATTTTAAAAAATTAATTCCAACAAAAAATGTATAGCAAATAGCATCGCAGTGGTCTATATTATATGTAGATGAGGATGTACCTTAGAACAGGCTTACCGTTTAAAAAATAAATTAGATACCAGAACTGAACCCAATAAGAGAAGGTTTTGGAAAGGCATGACCTATAGAGATGATAACCTTTTTGGAAAACCAGGAATCTCCATAGCCTTTTGAAAATGTGACCCTTTGGGGGATTAATTGGCATTCACACTATTTGGAATAATCATAACCTTTTTGTAAAATATGATCTTCCTGAAAGAATTAAAGAATTTGATGAGGATGTTGGATATGTTTTTTTTTATTTCTATGGCTTTGGTTGTTTCATTTTCATTAGCAACTTATGGCATTGAATGTATGCTGCCGCTTAGTGTAAACTGCCCTGACTCCTCCTGGGGACTCACCTGACATCCGCTGGGAAGTAGAAGCCAGTAATGAAAGGACCAAG